ATGGAAGTGTAAAAGGAATTGAATAAATTAAAGGCATTGTGACTATGTGTATCGGAAAGACACCTTCCCCACCCCAGCCAGTTATAAGGGGTAAAGAAAGCAATTAGTGAAATCGTAACAGACTCAGGTTAGAATCTGCCAAGCAGCTTAGCCAAAATAATCCTCATCCCAAAATTCATGCAACTTTCTATCACCAGAAACCTCAGATGAAACCTAGACTATGTCCCTTATAGACATTAGCAGTTGAAGTTTTTCAAAACTGATCTCAGTTTTCTACGAGATGGTTCACGTAAATACTGCTGCAAGAAATCACTTCTGATGCTGTGCTAAAGACATTGGGCTTCATGGGCTCTACTGTTATGAACAGCCACAAATTAAAAATTTCATGATTGCATCAACCTTTCAGCCATGACTCTCAAATAGAGTAGCTCTCCAATACAAGAAACTTACAAGATTTCTCTGACCATCTTCAGGTTCCTTCTCAGGGAAAAATGCAACATCCAGACTTGCAGACAGAGTTGACCTTTGAAGCTGGACAAAGAGGTTTACAATTAAGGTTGGCTTGTGTTTTCAGTTATGGCGTTGCCCACCTGGGCGCCCTTCTTGCAGCAGCCTGCGCACTACAACGGTATTGGCATTTGGGCAGCTGGGAAGGAAACCAGCTTCCTTGCTGTAGTCGTTTAACCCCACAGCAGGTTTCCGATAATGTGGGGTAACCCAAAATCGGGTTAGCCTCTACATGACCCCATGGCCGATATCTGCCACCTAATTGGCCAAAGGGCAACCCCTGGTGCTCTGCCATTCTGGAGGACCCTACATTGAAGTCCTCAAACAGGTCTGCGTTCAAATGAAGGATGAGAAATGGACCAGCCAACACACCCAACGTGTCAATAGGTTTGCCTACAGTCACCGTTTGGCTGCCTATAAAAAGGGCTGCAGCTTCGCATGGCGTGTGTGGTTAATGGCAGCGGGGCAAGACAGAGCTAGGAAGAGAGCTGATCACTGCAGCTTATCAGGCTTGTTAAAGGCCCGAAGACTCTAAGCAGCCTTTTTCAAGGTGTTCACCAGAAGCTGCGGGATGGCATCTGGAGCAGCTGGAGCTTCTGCTCACCGTCCTGATCTGGGATGCTGGACCGGGAGCCACCAGGGGAGCCACTGGAGAAGCTACTACGCCAGGGCCCAGTGAATGAGTAAGAATTGAGACGGTCAAATATCGGGGGACGGCACGCTGGAGTGCGTGGCCCGACTGGGACGGCATGCCCATAGATGTGGCCTGAGTGGGAAGGCACGCCTGTCGGTGTGGCTGGATTAATACGGTCACAGTACCAAGGAGAGACGCGTTTGCCTGACGCGGCCTCTCAGGTGCCCTTATTATTATTATTTTTTGCCTTTGGTTATATATGCATTGCCTTTTTTTTTCCTTTGGATGAATTTGTTATTTTATCTACCACCCATGTTGCAGATATTGTACATATATTCATATACCAAAGTTTCAAGGTTCTCGGATACAATTGTTCTTATTGTTGTTCACTGTTAATTGTTATTAAAGGGTTATTTTGTTATTGATATTGTAAATCCATTCATCGCCACAAAAACGCCTATACCCCCATCCTGAACCTGTTTAGTTCACGGTCCGTTACCCACCGTTCCCACCATGACCGTTTGTTGAGGTGCCCACCCCTCGGGGTCGAACCAGAACACTTGCTGACTATCAAATAACCTTTCTTTTTTTCCTGATTTAAAGCTGGTTTAGTTTCTCAGTCCAGCTCACTCATGCTGGGAAGGAATGAGTAGCCAGGGGAACAGTTATCTAAAAAAATGCTTTCCACAATGCCCTAAATTGTTTTTCACGTTTTTTCCCTGGCAGAATTTTCCAAAAGAGCTCAGTGAGTCTGATGTGCTGCTCTAGTTCAGTCATAAAAAAAAGGAACAAAAAAATCCTCACTTACACACAAGCATTCTGAGTAGCCCCAATAATAACAGTTTGCTTTGGTTACTGATGCAGGCAAGTAACTGTATGGTAACCACATAGCCTGTATTAATTTATTAAGAGTCATCAAGTTGAAACCTATTAGGCTCAAAGGCTGATATTATCCTAAAAATCTAATACTCCTGCTTTAATCTGAAATCTCTTTCCTGATTTAAGTTTTATTTTGACAGTTAGATATGTGTTTGGCTGTCACACTGCTTCCTGTGCTAGCACATCAAAAAACAATAGGATGCTTCAAGCTGAATTCTGTGGTTATAATTCAGCAAGCCAGCCAGATCACCATTTCTTGATGCATTTTCAAGTGACTGAAAACAGACACTTGCATTCTAACAGTAATGCATTAGAGGTAAAAAATGAATGAGGAGGCTATCTGCTCCAACATACCTGCAGAGTGCTAATGAGGAGGACATAACCCTTTCCTCCAGATTCAGTGCTATCTCTAACTCATCATAGCTGTGGCAGCCAAGGTTACCAATGCGGCTAATAAACACAACTTAATTTCTGCTACAATATTTCACAGCTTTAATTTATAGATTGTTACTCTTGAATATTTTACTAGTGGATTTTTTATTCAAACTTACAGAATATATGTGTATATAATGTATATGTGTTATACAACCAAATATTAAAGTGAGCACCTCTTCAGTTGACTGAAACATGAGAAACTGTATTATATAAAATGGCTTTCCACCAGTCAGCAATACCATTCTTCCTCAGCTTAACACTGCAATAATTTAATAGTCCAGTTTTCATAGTTCTCAAATCTCTTCCTTCCAATGGATCAGTGGCATTAGTTGTGCTTTTACTGCCTTAGACTGCAGTGTAGTCAAGTAACAGTAACCTGCTTTCAACAAACAGGGAGGCTTCCAGGTGTCCTAGAGAGCAAGTCAGAGAAAGGCAATATTTTTAGGGTAGGGTCTCCATTTCACATCAGCTCACTCATCTTTTTTCCCCAATACTGTTACTGAGTTTCCAGGGACCTGTACTAATGTTATTTACTAAGTTACCTTCCTCATTTATGTGCTGAGTTTTTCTACTCGTCTCCATCCTTGGAGATATTCAAAAGCCAACTGGACACAATCCTGGACAACGTGCTCTACACGAACCTGCTTGAGCAGGGGGTGGGTAGACTAGGCGATCTGCAGAGGTGCCTTCCAACCTCAACTATTCTGTGATTCTGTGAATATTTTGTAACTGAGATAAGTCCTTTCCTTGCTTGTTGCATATAAGAAATAGTTTTATTCTATAGCTCTGAAACTGAGCTTTGCTGTTTGAGCCCTGCATTGATGCATACACACACGTGGTCTGTTTTTGTTTTTTTTTTTTTTTAGGATCTGTCAATATTCACTTCAATTTTTTGGTCTTCTATAGTTATAATAGAGCTTGACAAGAAAAAGCTAAGTACAGAATCAAATCCCTATAGTCAAAGCAAGTGGTTTAAAAATAGAAAATGTTCCCCCTCTCCCTTTCCAAAAAAAAGATGATACCGAAAACTAGTTAGTCAAGACGAAAAGGGCAGGAAGGGCCCTGAGCAGACAGCTCCTACTGAAATCCATGTCTCAGATGCCAAGACAGGATACTTGAACACTTCCTGACAGATAGTAGTCTAATTATTCTTCTTTAAATAATTTCCTTTGGCTTTGAGAACTTGAGCCCACGAGGAGGTAACACAGAAGTAAGGCTCTTCTATTCTGTACCATTTAAACATATTAATCTTATTTATCTTCATATTTTTTATTTTTCCAGAATTTGGCCCTAGCTCCTTTCTCTCATTGAAAAGGAGCACAAT